AGAGTGGTAGACGGTTGGAATAAGTTAGGTGAGAAGGTGGTGGAATGTCAAAGCCGTCAGTACTTTCAAAGCTTTATATGACAGAGTGCTGCGAAAGATAGTTCAACATACAATGAACATACAAGATGGGACACAACGAGCGTAGCTCTCATCCTGTAACTACACTTAGGTAATTACCTGTGTTAACGAAGAAACGGCATTTGATATTGACGTCAGTGATGTAGAGTGGCATAGTACTAATTTCAAATATAGCAGGGGGCTACTGGCCATTAACACTTCCATCCAGAGTAGTTTCCTAGCCAGGAACAAGGTGCCCTGCAATTGCAGGATAGGTGTCCAAACACCTGGTGGTAGAAACAGAGTTCCCCTCGATGTCCTGGCTCTTGCCTAGGAACCGGTGCTAGATTCTTCTGGTATGTCCCCTGTCCCCCCCATCCCCCTGGATGGGAGGAATTTTGGGTCTGGAGAGCATTGAGTTAATGGGTGTCTGTGGTCTGCTGTATATTGCCGAGGAGGAACATCTGCTGTACTGTTATTGGTTATGATACACAGCTAGTCAGTCCAGACAGCCTAAGACCAGGGCAGCCTGAAACCAAGGCTGAGCCAACCACAAAGGAGCCACAACATCCACCTTCCAATGGTAGGTCTCTAGCCTGGCTAGGACCCTGAGCAACACCTAGACTGGGGAAAAGAAGTAGAGAAACCCCCACTGTGATCAGTCCAGCCGAAAGGCATCCACCTTGAGACCCTCGTGATCTGGGAACAAAGCCCCATAAACAGGATGGCACCGATTGGTAGCCGATGCAGAAAGATCCACATCGGGACACCCGAACATCTCTCAAAGCCATCAGGAGGAGGTGGTGTCGATGGGCTACTCCATTGAGAGGAAGCGAGAGAGACCACCAACGAGTAAGTTCAACACTCCCTAGACGTGAACAGTGTGAAGAACCAAACCCAGCAATGGAACACAGGGAACTCCTGCAGTTCAGGCAAGGAATCACGGGGGAACAGTCTAAATGAAGCAACAGCATAGAGCCTGGATGAATCTGAATCCTCCTCAGGGAATGCCACATGGCTCTTAACTTGCACACACAATATTTTGCGTCCAACAGAGCAGACCCAACCAACGACCCCAGGTGGCTTGGTGGGCGCCGGTCACAAAACTCCAGCCTTAACATGTCTTGTGTGGACATGCCAACATGTCCTTAACCCTTTATCTGCTTCAACTGCTTAAGAACAGTTGGCCCCTATGCTCCAATCACCTGGAGACAATTTAAGGTACTGTATAACGCCACATTAAAAAGTCCTGTCATTTTTATGAATGTCACCGGCTCCCTCAGGCCTTGAGCATACTGTATGCCCACATCCAGCTCCAAAATGCTGCTTGCACATAAGAATCAAGCATCCCTCTCCTGGGTTGAAATTATTTCTAAATTGGACAAGATGTTCCTTAGTGACAAGGAACATACCAGTATATCAGGCACTGATCATAAAATTCAGCACTAGTAATATTTCTGACTTGAAAATGGACAGTGACAGTCGGGAACCATCTGTACTCACCTGTAATAATTACCCAAGTGTAATTACCTTGGGTAATTATTGGGTAATTAATCACCCAATAATCCTCTCTACTCGCAGACAACGAGCAGAGAGAAAGATCAAGACAGGAAAGGGTGCAAGTCCGAGAGTCCAAATGAGTGGGCTCACCAGAATTCAGAAGAGACAGGGAAGAAGAGAGGATGAACGGTTCAAGAAGGCGACCCCGGTTGTTTGTCAGCACATCACCCCAAAGGGTATGTCGACAATTGAAATCACCCAACAGGAGCACAAACTCCGGCAAGGAGTCCAGTAGGTGTTTAAGATCAGGAAGAGAAAGCAGGTCACACAGAGAAAGGGGAGGGGAGATAAATGAAACAAACCGTGTACCATTACCTCACAAAGATACTGGCAGCAGAACAGTGGAGAGGCGACAGAAAAAATAAGGGGACGAAGGGAACATCAGAGCGAATCAAGAGAGCAGAAGAGTTAGGAGTCCCAGCAACAGCCCGGGGGAGGGGGGGAAGGGTTGAGAAAGGAAGAGCCACGGAAGAGACCAGGATGAGCACCAAGTATCAGCTCCTGGACACAGACACAAAGAGGTGAAAACTGTGAAATCAGAAGGTGGAGTTCAAGGAAATTGGCGTAATATCCATGAATGTTCCACTGAAGAATAGACATCAACAAAAAGAGAAAGGACAGCAACAGAGAACAACAAAGAAACAAAGGTGAAAAAGGAACACAGCACATTAAAGAAGCGCAGGATCATGATCAGGGTCAATAAGTCAGGGATAGGGGGCATGGGCAAGCTGAGTAAAGAAGGAGGGAAGGGAGCTGGAGGACCGAACAGGGGCGGCCGAGCAGGGTCTGGAGGAGGAGGGAACAACTAAGGGTCAAGGACAGCAGCAGGAGGGGCAGAAACCAGGGGATGCACCCCAGCAAGGGCAGCAACCGAGAGGGAAGCGGGGGCCAAAGAGACCTCCATAGCAGGAACAGGGGGCACAACCACCGAAACGGAAGGGGATGGAGCGAGAGAGTCAGAGGTAGGGGGCGAGGAAGAAAGCAAAGCTTTCTTACCAGCCGGGGAGGAGAAAGGAGAGGAGCCAGGCTTATGCTCCTGACTCAGAGACAGGTGTCCCAGCATCAATGTACTGGGCAATAGATTCAAGCGTCTCAACAAGAGAAGCAGAATGAGAGCAAACACGACGGCTGTTGGGAGAGCGATGGACATCAGCCCGCACTGACAGGTGGCGCGGAGAGCCAAAAGACGGAGGAGAAGGATGGAAAGGAGGATCGGAGGGAGACAAGGAAGAAGACACAGGAGACATGACAGACTGGGCAGAAAGAAGGGGAACCCCAGACAGATAACCATGAAGGGGATCCTTTGGGACAGAACTCAAAGGAACAGAGGAGGCAGCAGTGGGTGTGTCTGGGTCATAGGTCTGGAAGTGGTTGCGAGACTGAAGAAGGTGGGAAGGATGAGGAGAGGAAGAGTGCAACACGAGAGCATAAGAGATGTTAGTGTAAGGTGGGAGACGGCGAACTTGGCGCCTCGTCTCAGTAAAAGACAAACGTTTCCGTTGCTTCAAGTTGAGGATGGCTGCCTCAAGCTTGTAATGTATACATGGGAGCCGGTCGGCCGAGGGGACAGCACGCTGGACTTGTGATCCTGTGGTCCCGGGTTCGGCCTCACCGCAATTGAGGCAGCGAGCCTGGGGAGAAGTGCACTCCGACTTAACCCTTACACATGGGACAGAGAGACAGTACCGGAGCATCGGAGGGCACCATGCCCAAACCTCCAGCACTTATTACAGAGCCGAGGAGAGGGAATGTACTTCTGGACGGAGCACCTGGCACCAGCAAGAATGACAGAGGGCGGAAGGGTCCTACCATCAAAGGTAATCTTCACAACCCGAAGGGGCTGACGGTGACAACCACGAGGGGAACAAGTAAACGTGTCTACCTGGAGAACAGAATGGCCCTGGGCTTCGAGAATATGCCAAATATCTTCGTGGCAGGCTTGTAGATTAATAACACCGGTTGCAACATGCGGTGGGAGGAGAACAGTGCCAACACTGGCATTCAATCGAGCATTCTTGGAGACCCGAGCAGGGATCTTGCAAGGCAGGATAAGGCGGCCAAGCGGGTGGCTGCATCCTGAGAAGCAGCAGCAACGACACATATACCGAGACGGGTGGGGTTGAAAGTAACAGAGGCATCTACAGAATCAACAAGGTGCCTGTGGAGGGAGAAATCGTCAGGAGGCGAGAATCCAGAGGGAGGAGATTAAAGTATTTGTCCCACAAAGCGGGACCAAACAAGGCTTGGTACGCATCAGTACGGGAAGGGATCGTGTGAGTGCGGCCGTGGCGAGGACAGCATTGAGAACCCTCAGAGAGAGGGGTTAAAAGACGCAGTAGTCACAATGAGAGACTGAGCCGTGCCAGGGGACGAGGTGGTCACCACTGGGAGCTTGTGGCTCGACTACCACAGAGGAGGGAGGGGAGCCGAGGGGAGTAGTCAGGAGGGTCAAAGAAGAAGCAAGGTCGGGGTCCAATGCAGCGGGGTCTACAGAGCCCGGTCTTCCAACAGTGCGACTCGGGGGGCTTGGTCGCCCACCCCACAAGCCTGAGAAGGTACAAGAGGAACATTATCTGACATAAAAACGAGAGGTAATACTTTCAGTCACGAATGTGCCCCCACACCCACCACAGAGCCACAATTAGAGGCTGAACACCCAACAAGTGAGTATACGCCCCACAAATGCCCCTTTAAGAACCGTCAGTCCGTCGAGATTGGGTTCAGTGACGAAAGGAGGATTGACAATAAAAGGGTCCCCTCGCTCGAGACGTTGGGTACTACAGTTCTACGGGTGCAAGAGTATGCCTCCTCAAACACCCGGGCATCTAAACCAAAGAAGGTGAAAAGAATGATCAAAACAGGCACAAGGTCGGCGGGAAATGACAATTAGAAAGGAGAAGAGGGGGGGGGAGAAAAACGAAACAAAAGGAAAAGTTGCCCAGCAAAATTAGTTTGGACAGCAGCAGGAGTACAAGGCCACAAAAGGACAGAGGACTGTCCCATAGAGCATCACACCCCGGCAGCCGCCCACCAAGCCCCCTCATGGCAACAACAAGCTGGACAGGGAGAGGGTTCATATTGTCTCTTTCTTCTATCGTCTAGCTTTGTTGTATTTAATGCCTTTAACCTCTCCTCAATGGCTCTTATTTCTCAATTCCAGAAGCCATTTAGTTGCGTGTCTTTGCACTGTTTCTAGTTTAATGATGTTCTTCTTAAGATATGGTCATCATACAACTACTGCATATTCAAACTTTTGCCTCCCAAAGGTACATAAAGGCCTATTACTTAGATATTCATACCCAGTGGATGGCAATTAACAATATTAAAAGAACAAAAAAAATTGTTCACACATTTTTTCTTTGTGCATGAGCCAATGCACTGACACAGCTGGTGCAGTTAGGGGGTCAACTTTGTGCATGAGCCAATGCACTGACACAGCTGGTGCAGTTAGGGGGTCAACTTTGTGCATGAGCCAATGCACTGACACAGCTGGTGCAGTTAGGGGGTCAACTTTGTGCATGAGCCAATGCACTGACACAGCTGGTGCAGTTAGGGGGTCAACTTTGTGCATGAGCCAATGCACTGACACAGCTGATGCAGTTAGGGGGTCAACTTTGTGCATGAGCCAATGCACTGACACAGCTGGTGCAGTTAGGGGGTCAACTTTGTGCATGAGCCAATGCACTGACACAGCTGGTGCAGTTAGGGGGTCAACTTTGTGCATGAGCCAATGCACTGACACAGCTGGTGCAGTTAGGGGGTCAACTTTGTGCATGAGCCAATGCACTGACACAGCTGGTGCAGTTAGGGGGTCAACTTTGTGCATGAGCCAATGCACTGACACAGCTGGTGCAGTTAGGGGGTCAACTTTGTGCATGAGCCAATGCACTGACACAGCTGGTGCAGTTAGGGGGTCAAACATGTCGAGAGATGGTGGAGAAGGTGCCAAGAAACAAACCCAAAAGCTCAAAGAGGATGCCAGCGAAGAATCGGCCAACGAAGGGCAAATGGGGCCCGAACCCGATAGTCATGGCAGTGGCCAGAAAGGCAGAGCTGGAGAAAGCAGAGCAGCTCCTGAAGCCACTCCCTGTTCAACAGAGTAAGACAGGTAGAGTACAGACTCCTGCACAACTCCTTGAACAAACAATGAATCACCCGGGGGCACCTCAGTACCACAAGTTGGCAATGCTTCAGCTGAAGTATATTCATCTCCGGCTGAATTCCCTTCAGCTGAAGTATATTCATCGGCTGAATTCCCTTCAGCTGAAGTATATTCATCTCCGGATGAATTCCGTTCGGCCGGAGGAAGGGAAAACAACGTCGACCGAGAGTTCCACATGAGGCTTGGCGAAGTCTGAACTTGGAATTTCCTCCGGTTCACCAGAAACCTGAGTCCAGTGAACTGGGGAAGAACCAGATTCCTGGCTACCAGACATGCGGACTGACTAGGAAGGGTCCAAACTAGCCAGTCATCAAGGAAGGCCAAAACATGGGGCCTGCAAAAATACAGGAGACAGATTCAAACTGAGGGAAAGACTCTGAAGTGTTAAACTTGATGCCCCATGACAAAGTCTAACCAATCTGGCATAACTGGCCGACCCCTCACAGTGTTCAAGAGAGAACTGGATAAGCACCTCCAAAGGATACCTGATCAACCAGGCTGTGACTCATACGTCAGGCTGCGAGCAGCCACGTCCATAAGCCTGGTTGATCAGTCCAGCAACCAGGAGGCCTGGTCGACGACCGGGCCGCGGGGACGCTAAGCCCCGGAAGCACCTCAAGGTCACCTAAAGGTAACCTCAAGGTCAAGGTAACATTCGGCCTTACTAAACTGCTCACAAGTTTGGAAATGGTAATCAGCTATTCAGACAAAAGAACTTCCAGTAGATTTACCCGAGGGACCACTAACACTAGTGGCCTTGAGGATAGGAAGATCCTGGCTTGTTGAAGGTTCCCCCCCCCACCCACCATTTGCCTTTATGATCTTTTCCAGTTGGACTTTAAAATTTAACAGTTTTGGCATTTACAGCTTTGGCAAGTAGTTGGTCCATTGGTTTATAGCCCTGTACTCAACTGGTTTTGCTTGCAAAGATTGAGCTTTGGCTCTTTGGTTCTGTCTCTCAACTGTCAATCAGCTGATGTACAGATTCCTGAGCCTATTGGGCTCTATCATATCTACACTTGAAACTGTGTATGGAGTCAGCCTCCACCACATCACTGCCTAATGCATTCCACCTGTTAACTACTCTGACACTGAAAAAGTTTTTTGTAACCTCCCTGTGGTTCATTTGGGTACTCAGCTTCCACCTGTGTCCCCTTGTTCATGTTCCAACAGTGTTACACAGTTTATCTTTATCTACCCTGTCAATTCCTCTGAGAATTTTATAGGTGGTGATCATGTCTTCCCTTACTCTGTCTTTCAGTGTCATGCGGTTTAGTTCCAGCAATCTTTCCTTGTAGTTCATACCCTGTGGGTGAAAAACATCTGTTCTCAATCCTACATTGTGGCTTTTTGAGCTTGAAACCATTGCTCCTTGTTTATGTTACATCTGATCTTTTGAAGAAGTTGTCTGGGTCAACATCCTCCAAACTGTTCAGTAT